GCACCAACTACTAAGGCCAAAGACAAGGAAACAGAAGATTTTTACCAACTTCTGCAGTCTGAAATTGATCAAATATGCAATCAAGATGCATTGATAATTACTGGCGATTGGAATGTGACAGCTGGGAACAAAGAAGAAGGATCAGTAGTTGGAAAACATTGCCTCGGTGATAGAAATGATGCCAGAGATTGCATAATAAAATTTTGCAAGACCAATGACTTCTTTATTGCAAATACCTTTTTTCAACAACATCAATGGTAACTATACACATAGACCTCACCAGATGTAATACACAGGGATCAAATCAACTATGTTTGTGGAAAGAGATGATAGAGAAGCTCAATATCATCAGTCAGAACAAGGCCAGGGGACAACGGCAATAAAGACCATCAGTTGTTCGTATGTAAATTCAAGTTGAAGCTGAAGAAAATTAGAGCAAGTCTACAAAAACCACTTGAATTTAGAGACCATCTCAAGAACAGATTTGATGCATTGAACACTAATGACAAAGACAAGATGAATTGTGGAATGACATCAAAGATATCATACATGAAGAAGGAAAAGATCATTAAAAAGACAGGAAAGAAAGAAAAGACCAAAATGGACGTCAGAAGAAACTCTGAAAGTTGCTCCTAAATTTTGCTAAAGCAAAAGGAAGAAATGATGAAGTAAAAGAGCCAAAAAGAAGATTTCAAAGGGTGGCTCCAGAAGACAAAGTAAAGTATTATAATGACACGTGCAAAGACCTGGAGATAGAAAACCACAAGGGAAGAGCATGCTCGGCATTTCTCAAACTGGAAGAACTGAAGAAAAAAATTCAAGCCTCTAGGTGCAATACTGAAGGATTCTATGGCAAAAATATTAAATGACGCAGGAAGCATCAAAAGAATATGGAAGGAATACACAGAGTCACCATACCAAAAAGAATTGGTTGATGGTTTAACCATTTCATGAGATAGCATATGATCAAGAACCGATGGTACTGAAGGAAGAAGTCCAAGCTGCACTGAAGGCACTGGTGAAAAACAAGGCTCCGGGAATAGATGGAATACCAACTGAGCTGTTTCTACAAATGGATGCAGCGCTGGAGGATGCAGTGGTCATTTGTCTAAGCCCAGAAATTTGGAAGACAGCTACTTGGCCAACCGACTGGAAGAGATTCATATTTGTGCCCACTCTGAAGTAAGGTGATCCAAATGAATGCAGAAATTATCGGAAAATATCATTAAAATTACATGCAAGTAAAATTTTGCTGAAGATAATTCAAAAGGGGATGTAGCAGTACATTGACAGGGAACTGCCAGAAATTCAAGCTGGGTTCAGAAGAGGATGTGGAACAAGGGATATCACTACTGATGTCAGATGGTTCTCGTCTGAAAGCAGAGAATACCAGAAAGATGTTTACCTGTGTTTTATTGACTACGCAAAGGCATTTGACTGTGTGGATCATAACAAATTAGGTAGGATCACATTGCGATGAATGGGAATTCCAGAACACTTAATTGTGCTTATGTGGAACCTGTACATAGGCAGCTGTTCGAACAGAACGAGGGGATACTGTGTGGTTTAAAGTCAGGAAAGGTGTGCGTCAGGGTTGTATCCTTTCACCATACTTATTTGATCTGTATGCTGAGTAAATAATCTGAGAAGCTGGATTATATGAAGAAAGTGGCATCAAGATTGGAGGAAGACTCATTAACAACCTGCAATATGCAGATGACACAACCTTGCCTGCTGAAAGTGAAAAAGACTTGAAGCACTTACTGATGAAGATCAAAGGCTACAGACTTCAGTATGGATTATACCTCAACATAAAGAACACACAAATCCTCACAACTGGACCAATAAGCAACATCATGATAAATGGAGTAAATATTGAAACTGTCAAGGATTTCAGTTTACTTGGATCCACAATCAACAGCCACAGAAGCAGCAGTCAAGAAACCAAACGACATATTGTGTCGGGCAAATCTGCTTCAAAAGACCTCTTTAAAGTGTTAAAAAGCAAAGACGTCACCTTGAGGACTTAGGTGTGCCTGACCCAACCCATGGTATTTTCATTCACCTCATATGCATGCGAAAGGTGGACAATGAAGAAGAAAGACTGAAGAATTGACACCTTTGAATTATCATGTTGGGGAAGAATACTGAATATACAATGGACTGCCAGAAGAACGAACAAATCTGTCTTGGAAGAAGTACAGCCAGAATGCTTGGAAGTAACCATGGCGAGACTTTGTCTCACATATTTTGGACATGTTACCAGGAGGGACCAGTCCCTGGAGAAGGACATCACACTATTGAAGTACAGAGTAGGCAAAAAAGAGGAAGACCCTCAATGAGATGGACTGACACAGTGGCTGCAACAATGGGCTCAAGTATAACGACGACTATGAGGATGGCGCAGGACCAGGCAGTGTTTCTTTCTGTTGTACATGGGTCATTATGAGTCAGAATCGACTCGATGGCACTTAACAATCACAACATCTAGAGGAATGATACATGCATTATGGAAGTTCCAGAGGGGAATGTCTAGCAAAATTTTTTGAAGAAATAACAGCAGAAAATCTCCCAAATATCATGAAAAATGGGAAATTTCACATCCAAGAAACTCAAAAAACTCCACATAGGATAATATCTAAAAGAACCACCAAGCTATACCATAATTAAACTCTCGAAAACCAAGAACAAAGAGAAAATTTTGAGATCAACAAGAGAGAAGTGAAGTATCACTTACAAGGGGTCTTCAGTAAGATTAGGTGTGGATTTCTCTTCAGAAACCATGTTGGCAAGAAGGCTGTGTGAGAGCATATTTAAAGTGCTAAAAGAAAAGAACCATCAGCCATGAATACTATACCCAGCAAAACTATCATTTAAAAATGACAGCAAAATTAAGACATTCCCAGATAAACAAAAACTCCTGGAATTTGTTACCACAAGACCAGCCTTACAAGAAATACTAAGGGAGTTCTCCAAAATGAAAAGTAACAACACTAGACAGTAACCAGTAGTGATACACACAGAGGGAAAAAATGCCATTAAAGGGAACATCTTGAGAGTATAAACACCAGATTTAAGATATTTTTGGTTGGTAAATATAATGGGTATGTCCTTCGTGCTTTACAATGACAAAAACATGGGGAGGGGGGAAGAAAATAAAAACTATATACATATAATAATAAAATAAATTTTAATAAATATTATAGAGAAGCTGAGATATAAAGAAGTAACTGATGATAACATCTAAATAAATGGGGGTTGACTGATGTAGATTACACCAATATTCAGTACTTACTATGTGTGAGGTCCCTTGCTTATGTTTTGAAAACAAAAATATATCTTTTTAAACTAAAAAAAGAAAAAAAAAGCTGACCTAATTTGCTTTATTTTATATTAGGTTTTCCCTGTTCCCGAATATCAAAATGAAAAGTTACTAGTGATGATAGTTGCACAACATAATGGACGTAATCAATGTCACTGAACTGTACATGTAAAAAATGCTGAATTAACAAATGTTTTGTTATGTATATTTTTACCAAAAAAAAAAAAAAAAGGCAGTGGTCAGTGGTAGAATTCTCACCTTCCATGTAGGACAACAAGGTTCGATTTCTGGCCAGTGCACCTTGTGCACAGCTACCACCTGTCTGTCAGGGGAGGACTGAGTGTTGCTGTGATGCTGAGCAGGTTTCAGGGAACCTTCCAGACTAAGATGGACTAAGTAAAGAAAGGCCTGGCCATCTACTCCAAAAATCAGCCAGTGAAAACCCTATGGATCACAATGGCCAGATCCTGTTGTGTGTGGGGTCCCCATGAGTCAGGAAAGCTAACAACAAGAACTGTAATTACTCTGTCAAGCTTAGCTTCTCCTCTTGGTCCACATAAATATAACAGTTGTGACCAACTGGACACCCTGGGGAAGGCAGGGCTTGCAGCACAGGTTTTGGTGGTGGGCTCATGACAAAGGGCTCAGAAAAGAATCAAATCTTACAGGTATGGCTGTATCACTAACATCACTAGACTCTGAGCTGGATTTTCCTCTTTCAGAAGACTCTATGATATCATGTACTTATTTTTTCTGGAGGGCAGCTAGGGATTTGCTTAAATTTGCCATGGTACATCTAAGATTAAAATGTTAATGTCTTGATTTAAATTTGTCAGTGTAGGCCCTTGAGGAGAAAATGCATATTAGTATGAAGTCAAAGTTTTAGGGCATTCAGGTGAGTGTAAAGGTTGATTTCCATGAGTTAGATTAATGATTAATATTTTTATTTTAACTTGTCAGACTCACGTGTAATAAACGAACTCTATGTGAGTGTTTAACAGGAGAATGGATAAAATGAAATATCAACACTGATACTTCTCAAATGGGAGCAATGTCTGGAGACATTTTTGGTTGTCACAACTGGAGAGGAGAGAGGGGGATGCTACTGGGATCTAGTGGGTAGAGGCCAGGGATGCTGCTCAACATCCTACAATGAACAGGACAGAACCCACAACAAAGAATTATCCCACCCAAAATGTCAGTAGTGTCCAGGTTGAAAAACCCTAATTTACACTATAATGTGTACAACAAGGTAGTGTATGCTCTGAAATGGAAGGGTTTCCATGTTACATTGCTGAGTGAAAAGAAAGAAATCACAGAATTGTGTGTGTGTATGTGTGTTTATTATGAGCAGAGACAAAAGTAAAGGTGGAATAATACCAAATCTTTTTACCATGGTTACTCATTCACCCCACTGGGCATCTACTATGTCCCAGGGATTATTAGGCTAGAGATAGAGGAAAGTGGGCATGGTCCCTACTTTCAAGGAACTTAAATTCTGGCAGGGTCAAGATTGAAAATAAAACAAGAAAATACAAAACAAGACAATTCCAGATAATGATCCATTTTATACACAAAATTTCAGTGCTGTTTGGATTTTTTTCTAATAAGCAATGTATTCAATTTATAATTAAATTTTAATTTAAAAAAGTTTAACCCCTCCATAGCTAATAGTTACCTGCCATGTTCTAGGAAGATGAATGCTTTCTCTCTGGTATACTGCAAAGAGAAGGGTTTGCTGTTGATCCCGAGCAGAGGAAGATCCGGTGTGGAGGTCCGGGGTTTTCAGAGGCAGCCACTCTGTCCTGAGTAAGCCCAACAATCTGGAAGAGGAAATAAACACTGGCAGAGGTGGAGACCCACGTGGTGAGGTCAGATGTGTTGGATCCAGGCCTCACTGCTGCTTCCAGGATGACATGCAAACACATCAGAAGAATGCTTCTCAAAAGAGGCAACGGGTCCTCTGGAAACGTAGGCTGCAGAGGAGAAATCACTCAGGGGTCAAAATCAATACTTTCCATTTTTAAAGGACTCAGATTTTTCTGTGAAAGCAGCCACCAAGAGGGTTCCTGGGAAAGGAGACACCAGATAGGAAGTAGGAAGCATGCCCCTGCCATCCTTCCTTCTCCCCAGGTTCTTCCCTCCAGATGATCAGACTCCGCAGGGTATTAGTGAAGCATCCTGTCATGGTCTGTAGCCTGGACTTCTCAGTCAGGTTGACGGAGATGAGGTGATGCTACTAGGTGTTTTGGGCCTTTTTCCTCACCTGAAAATGCGGGGGCTGGTTTAGACCTGGTTCCCACCGACAAGTCTCAAAAGTTCCTGAGACAGCAGGGACTTCCCAGTCAGAGGCACTTGGTCAAATTCCAGCTCCAGTACGGAGATAGCAGGGACTTCCTAGTCAGAGGCACTTGGCCAAATTCCAGCTCCACTACTATTACTTCACCTCTCTGGGCCTTAGTCTCCTCATCTACAAAGTCAGGAACACAGTCCCACCTCACAGCACGGCTGAGAAGATTAAGGCTGTAGAGAGATGTTAGTTCTCCCTAGGGTACCTCAAAGGCAGGAAGGAGGCCCGTAGCCTCACCTTGTCCAGCCATCTCTGAAACAACTGCCTTCATTCTGGAAGACGCAAGGTACCCGCAGCCACCACCAGATAAAATGGCTAAGTGTGCCTCAGTGCTAAGGTGGGGACACTGCATGACACTTGTTGTGTCTGCATGGTGATTTCTACATGTATCTGTGCATCTTTACAGAATAACAAAAAGAAAACAGAGACAAAGAGAAATCAGGCTTATCTATGGCCACCATTGGACTCTGGAGCAGGGCCTGGATCAGCACCTCCACCAGCTATAGGGGCAGCAGGGCTTGGATATGCAGAGCATTGCTGTGTGGGTGCCCTGGGTACAGAGAGGTATAGGTAACGGTCACTGGGGCTGGGGCTTAGAGAGGCGAATACAGCCATAGGCCAAGAGGGAGCTAACAGCTCTGATCCAAAGGGGGGTGTCATGGATTGAATTGTGTCCCCCAAAAATATGTATACCAATTTGGCTAGACAGTGATTCCCAGTATTGCGTGACTGTTCACCACTTTGTCATCTGATGTGATTTTCCTATGCATTGTAAATCCTATCTCTATAATGTTGATGAGATGGGATTAGATGCAGGATTCAATCTACAAGACTGGACTGTGTCTTGAGCCAATCTCTTTGGAGATATAAAAGAGAAGAAAGCAGAGAGACACAGGGACCTTATACCACCAAGAAAGCAGTGCCAGGAGCAGAACGTGCCCTTTGCACCCAGGGTCCCTGAGCTGAGAAGTTTCCAGACCAGGGGAAGATTGATGTCAAGGACCTTCCTCCAGAGACAACAGAGAGGAAAAGCCTTCCCCTGGAGCTGACGCCCTGAATTTAGACTTCTAGCTTACTAGACTGTCGTATTTCTGTTTTAGTGGCATAGATAACCAAGACAGGGGGCTAAAAGACTAAACAGTTCCCACTCATTTGACTAGTGACTGAGAAGTTAGGGATTAGGTGGCAGTGTCTGCCAACTAGCCTCTTTGGCTACCCAACATCCACTCTCTCCTTCCTCAAGAACAAAACCCTGACTCATTCAGGGTGTCAATGTGCCCAGCCTCCTTGGGCTAGGGATGCCAATGAGGTATAAGCAGAAATCATTCAGCAGGGCTCAGCTGGGAGGAGTACTGCTCTGGCCCCTGCCATTCTCCTTCTTCCATGGACTGCAGAACACTGACCAGGGCTCAGCCAGACATCTTGTTGTCCTGGGATAGAGGATATGGACTAAGGATGGTGGGCACCTGAATTCCTGATGCTTTCTGAGCTGTGAGATGATTCTGGGCTGCCAACCTCCAGATTCCTTTTATATGAGACCAAGCCCCTAATTTTATTTCAGTTGTTGGAGTTGACTCTATTACTTGCAGTGAGAGGAACTCAATTCCCAACCAATACACTCATTTGGCCAGCAAACTCCATACTGACTGGCAGCTTTCTGCCAGTACTGTACCAGCTGTGGAGGATACAGTGGTGACCATAACAGGCAAGAGTGGAGCATCATACCCTTGGGGGAGTGTGGGGGTAATAATAAACAAGCACACAACGAAAACCACCACGGAATCCCAGGTGAGTGCTATCAAGAAAACAGTGCATGGGTAGATAAAATGGCAGGGCTGTGATTGGTATTGTAGTAGGCTGGCCAGAGGTGTCTCTGAGCAGGGACATGAATGACAATACAGAGCTGGCCATGCAAAGACCTGAGGGAACAGAGGCCCAGGCAGTGCAAGAGCCCTGAGGTGGGAGCTGGCCTGGGGAGGTCAAGAAACAGCAAGTGCCAGGCTGGACAGTGGTTTAAAAAAATAGTTTGGTGGTGGGAAATGCAGTCAGAGAGGAGGTGGGGATCCACCAAGCTGGGCTCGCAGGACAAGGACAGGCATTTCATCCTAGCCTCCCAGAGAGCCACTGGGGCATCTTCAGCAGGAGTGGCATGGCCTGTTTAGCTTTAAAAGAGCACGAGTGTCACTGCAGACTGGGGAGCATCTTAACCTGACAGCCCCAAAGTGAGGGCCCAAGGCCATCTTAGTTTGGACCAAATGCTTTCGTTCTAATGCCGCAGGCATGGCGTGTGTTCTTCAGCCTCCCCAGACCCCCAGCCTCCACTGTCCTGCTCGCCCAGCTGACATGTCCAGATCACCAGCCTGACCACACGAGGCATTCTAACTGGGGACTCCCCATCTAGTCCAATTCCTCTAGTTGCACAGAGTAAGAAACTGAGGCCCAGGACGTCAGACACTAAAATAACAGAAAAGACTCAAGCCCAGGTGTCCTGACTCCCAGTCAGGGCTCTCCCTTCGCCCTTATTCTCCCTCCCTTGGCTCCCTTCTCCAAGGCTGACAGTTTTCCTGCTTTGCTAGAAACAAGACACTTACCCACTTTCATAGGAGAAAGAACCACATAGTTATTAAACTACATCTACCACCTCAAATCTGCTGATATTTCTGATGTATCGCTATTTCATCCTGTCAGCCCTGGTTTACCAGGTGTTCGCCTTCACATGCTGCCTCCGAGTGGACGTCTGCCTGTTGCTCTAAGGGCAGGATGACTCTCCCTGCTCTGCACTGCTGTCTGCAAGCCCGGGGGCCCTTTCCCTCCCTGTTCTGGGCATGCAGGGGATTTCCACCTTTTAAAACACTATAAATCGCACTATTGGAAGCATATATTATTAAATACATTTTCTCTTTCGTGTATTTCTTTGGCTGAAATATCAGTATTTAATATCACAGAGATTAAAGATTAGAGGAGCTTGTATTTTTTTAGGTTTTGTTACGGATTGCCACAAAATCCTTGAGAAAGATTGGCCTGAACCACGGTGACCTGTTCTACGTGTAGGAAGGACGTGGTCCCTGGGGGGTCACCCAGGTCTGATAGGGGCACCCCATTCCCAAACACATCTCAGGCAACCCATGCCGCAGCGCTGCCCCGTCTCCTCATTGGTGATGTGCGGACACTACAGCCCTGACTTTCCAGGGTGGGGCAGATGAAGTGAAGGCTACGACTGGAATGTTTCAAAATGGTTCATGTCCTGGGCCGCAGGCAAGACAGGGATCGTGCGTTCAATCTCTGCTCTCGGGACCGCGCCCCCCCACCTCGCGGCCCAGCTGCGGGGAGAACTCACCCTGCGGAAGCGAACTGGCAGGCCGGGAAGTGGCAACGGGAGCTGCAATGGGTCAAGGTCCAGGCTGGACGCACTGGGGCGCGACTCGCCCCGCCCCGCGCCGGGAGCCTTGAACCCTGCCCCGCCCCTCCCCGTGCACGCCCCGCCCCGCGCCCGCCCCTCCGGGTCGTACCCAGACATCTGCGCGTCCCCGCTAGCGTCCAGAGGCCTGGATAGGAAGTCTGTGCCGGAGGCTGGGGAGCTGGAGGCTGGGGAGCTGGAGGCTGGGGAGCTGGAGGCTGGGG